TGTGTGTGTGTGTGTGTGTGTGTGTGTGTAATTATGTATTACTAACGCGTCGTATCAAAGTGTTCGTATGAAATCAGTTGCGGCTGATATCCCCTTAATATAGAGGGCAGTCTTTGCAAAATTATTTAGTATCGTTTGACAGTGAATTGGATCGTCTATCTCATTTATCTTTCTCTCTCTCTCTCTCTCTCTCTCTCCCGGGGAAAAAAGATGGTAGTCGCACGTCTCGCACGAAACTCACCAGTGTTTAAAAATTATCTCGCGAGTAGCTTCCTACTTTCGTATTAAATTACAAACTATAATAGAAGGCTAAAAAGTGGTAAGTTACTTAATAGCGTTCTTTGGTACCAGCCTGAGTCTCATTAGATTACAAATAATTTGTTAAATAGTCTTGCTAAATTACTAAGAGATCACTGTTTTCCGTGAGTGTCCTGTTTCCTACAATACGATCGTCGCGTTTAATATAGTCTGTTGCTATTGCCCTGCCGATATCGTCTCTCCCCCGTCTCGTTCTCGATACGTCGATCAATCGAGGAAATCAAAATACGATCCAACAACCGGTACGACCACTCGAAAATATTAAAGTACTTCCTGGGTATACTCAACGAGTCAACACGTTTGTCGAAAATTATTAAAATACTTCCTATATCACGCATTTTTCAACAATGAAAAGAAAAAAAGAAAACGAAACTTGCACGAGCTACTGCTCGTGTCGAGTCTCGCAAGTATGAAAAATAAAATCTTCTCGACCATAGTAAAAACAACAAAAAAAAAAAAAAAAAAAAAAAAAGGAAAACAATTTATATAGAATAAATACGCGAAATACGAAAACGCGGGATCACTACTTTTTAGAAAAGTGCCGCGTGATCGTTTCGATCGAACGATCGACGATATATCATCGTCTACATTTTCTTCCTTTTCTTTTCCTCCATTACCCTTTGCCTCTCTCATTTCACGTACATTAGGACACGATGTAGTCCGCGGAATGATGAGAATGATGAGAATTTCGATGCTTGTCCTTTCGGTGATTCGTCCTCGAGTTACTGCTGCGCGTGCCGGTGGTTCCGGTGGTGCCGGAAGTGTGATGGCTGTAGCCGCTGTCGCTACCGAAACTGCTGTCCGGCTGACCTTGGTACAGCCTGCCGGAAGATATCTGGTCGCTGTCGCGTGTCGCGTAGTACACCGGCTGCGTGTACTTGTCCTCGTTGTAGAGACGATCGGTGGGCTGCGAGTAGGTGTCCGAGTACTCGCCCCCTACCTGCGTGTATACGGGAGCGGTGTCCTGGTTCTGCAGCCCGTAATACTCGGCCCCGTATTGCGCCGAGTACTTGTACTTGTCGTTCGACTTGCGAGACCTCTCCTTGTTGCTTCTGCTCTGGCTCGAATAGTGGTGCAGAGGGCCCAGCACCGGCACGCTCTCGTACGGGTTCTCCTCGACTCGGAGGGCTTGCGTCGCTGGCATCGGTGGCACGAAGTACGGTAACCTGTGAGCCACCGATGGGACGGACTGTTGTCGTTGATTGCTGTTCGATCGAGTGCCTGCCACGCCTGAAAAGAATCATTCGCAAATGTTAATTAATTCGACACTATGCTTGCAATCGTCATACTCGAAGACTCGAGGAGATACACTGTTCGATCTGAGTTCCGTGAGTTCGAGAGAAAGCTCACCGGCGACACTGGGATAGAGCTGCAGCAACGCGTCCAGCAGCATCCCCTCGTGAAACTCGCCGACATCGTGGTGCTTGTCTCTCCTGTGCCTGTCGAGGCTCCTGGGGCTCCTTCCTCGTTTCTCCCGCGGTGGCCTGCCACCAGCTGGACAGGTGCCCCACGTCGGACCCGTCGATGTCAACATCCTCGCCTCGGACGGTTCACCCACGGAGAGCTCGTCCTCGGCGAACTCGTCCTCGCTCGCCGGTTTCGACGACGACGAGGGCCGATGATGATGGCGGTGATGATGATGATGAAGCCGGTTCCGCGCGTTCAGCTCGCTCTCCTCGTCCGTTTCCGGATGGTCCCCTGACGAACGAATGAATAATTCATAAGTGCCGGTGGCGCTGGTTGCGCGCGCCGCGCTCGCCGACGCGATAATTAATTAGACGGTTCGTTCATTAATTAACAGACATTCTCTCTTTCGCGCGTCAAACGTTACGATCACTCGATGTGGACGAAATCAAATCGAATCGGTGCTTTCAATTTCCAGCCAGGGGAATCAGTGTCAGAATTAATTAGTTAGAGAGATCTGTCGTTGTTTCATTTAAACGCAGCGAGCGGAGCAAGTTCGCCGGGGAGAATGGCCGGGGACGAAGCGATTGTTAAGTGAAAGTATCCACGGAAAGCGAAGCGTGCTGTCGCCATTAGTCGTCGAAAAACACAATTCAGCAGGCATGCACGGTGCATGCGTCGCGATCGACACTTTGTCGCGCTTTCAATTTCGGGCCGACCGTTGCCGATTTTTCTCTCCCCTCGTTTCTCGCTTCTTCTTTTTTTTCCCTTTTCTTTCTTTCTTTCTTTTTCTTTTTTTTTTTTTTTTTTTTTTTACACCCCGCGCTCGTTACGCGATTTTTCTTTCTTCCGATGCTTTGCCCGATCGCGGTTTCAACATTTGTGCTCGACGATTGTGATCGTGCGTCGCATCCGCGATCGTTAACCGATCGTATTGTCGCGCGCACTTGATACCAATTCAACGGTTAACGAGAATAACCGTTGCGTCGTTTACATCGCGAGTGATTAAAAAAAAAGAGAAGAAACCAGAAATACCTCTCTAACCGGCGGTTGAAAATCAAAACAGCCATTTTAACTGGCGTGGCTGCTAGAACGCCGCAGCGCGCGGGTTTGTTTTTTCATCGCTTCAATTATATACGGTTCACCCAATTTCACGTTTCGATTCTTTTTTTCCTACCCTTTTCTCTCTCTCTCTCTCTCTCTCTCTCTTTTTTCCTCTTTTTCCTTTTGGAACGATTCCACGTATTTCGCGCAAAAATGAAAAACAATCCAGGTACGCGGGCAATATGTACGTTCGATAAACTCTGCCTCTGGACAATTATCGACGACAAAAGGGAAACGAGCGTTCGATTCCCCGTGGCGAAAACGAACGCGAAGAAGAATCGCTCGAGTCGTGGGTGTAAGACGTGAACGACGACGAAACACGAGCGAAAGGGACGCTTAACGGCGAACTGAAGTTTATCAACTCTGGCTCTAATCGACGTTACAGCTTTCTGTTTGACGATCCCTCGACGAGCCACTGTATCGTCGTCCTCGCTTCGCTTCAGACACAACGCCCTTATTTACACAAGGAGGGAAAGGGTAGAAAAGAAAAGAAAAGAAAAGAAAAGAAAAGGAAAGAGAGGAAAAAAGGAGGAGAAATTGGAGGATGCTTCACGGATTACCGCGGTTGCACTTTTAATCTCCGTTATTTTATATCTTGGCGTATTTATCATCGGTTTAAGCGATAGCGAGCAAACTAGGATTTCCCCCGGGGGAGGGAGTGAAAACTGAACTCCGCAGAGGCAAAGTGGAAATTCGTTGCCGAGCGTAATCATTTCGAAACCGTAAAATATATACGCTCTGCTTTCGAACAACAGCTGCTAGTTGCACCCTGTTTCCCCTGATCGAGCTCCGCGGTGCGCACAGTTCGACTATCGGGTCGAAAAACAGCCAAGGTCTCCGATGAGATTCGACCGAACTTTTTAATGAAAAGGTACTCGCCCGGGATAACAGAACAGATCCACGCGACGTTCGAAACCGAGACGAATTACTCTGCGTGGCAGAATATCGCGCAGAGCGTGTAATGTATTCGATTACCACCGCGTCCTCGTCAAACGTCGAAAGTCTCATCATCATGCTAATTAGCTATCCGGCTAATGGGAAATATAAGTCAGAGGTCGTGTCATGCTTATCTCCATCCACCGAAGCGAAGCTCCGCTCCGGCGAACGGAGGAGCAGGCGCGGATCTGTCGTGCGACACAGCCAAGTGGGGCCAGGCTATCAAGATACTCGCCTCGTGAAAGGAACAAGATATGCACGAGGAAGAAGATGAACAGCTTCCGATTCCGTGCCGACGAAGAGATTAGACACCGGGCCCATCCGGCCAACTTCATCGCCCCGACGGAATACGTCGAATTAATTGGGAGATAAGCGACTAAAAGAAAAATGATGGCGTTCTTTCGTCGCGAGATCAGAGACGAAGGGAGGAAACTTTGTTCTCGGTCGCCAATATTTGGAACCGTGGTTTAGTTCGGAGAGTTAGGAAAGATAAACAGCGCGA